AACAAAATATAATCTTATTCGGCCAAGACTGCCTAATAGAAGGTATGAAGACCAAGATGGTGTGGTCGCAGACTCCTTTCGTTTTATAGAAGTTGTTTGATCTTGTTTTCGCAACTTGGTCATGTTGGTAGGAAGACTTAGAAGAACGCACTTAGTCCGGAGTCCATTGTCTGCATGATCATTTCCAAAGTCGGACCGTGGACGTGATACATTCCTAAACGTTTCGCCGGCATCGTAGTTTGGGAATATAGCACATCCACGGTTCGACTTTGGGAATGATGATGCATACAATGGACTACGGAATAAGTGTGTTCTTCTAGGTTTTCCTATCAACATGACCAAGTTGCGAAAACAAGGTCAAACAACTTCTGTACAACGAAAGGAGACTGCAACCAAACAAAAGTCCACACAATCTTGGGCTTCATACCTTCGATAAAACACATAGTTTAATCAGAGGTATGAAGAGCAAGATGGTGTGGTCTAAGTCTTCCTACCAACATGAACAAGTTGCGAAAACAAGGTCAAACAACTTCTGTACAGCGAAAGGAGACTGCAACCAAATAAAAAATCACACAATCTTGGTCTTCATACCTTCGATAAAACACATAGTTTAATCACAGGTATGAAGAGCAAGATGGTGTGAAATGGAAAAATGCCTGGCCTTCCCTCGAATGCACATCTGGCCTGTGACCCAAGGATAAATGTGGCAACGCGACATGTTGGTCAAAATGTAGAGACTGTCACGGTTCGAGTTCGAGTTGGTGGTGCTCAGGTGAGTACAGAAGTTCACTCCCCTTCTGCCTGTATGAGAATACCTCTTGAGAAGCAGGGCTATGTGAAAGTTAATGTAAACGTAAGGTCTATTCATATAAATGCTAGAAAATTCATCAGCTTAAACGAAAAGGATAAACACACTTTATAGACAAGACTATATTCATGAATTTCTGACCACATCATAATCCCCTCGTATGGGACATCAAGTCAAAATGACACACTATGACAAGCAAACATTCACTGGATCACGCTGTTGAAAAATCAATTCGTCCCGCATGTGCATGTGACCAAAAGAGTGCCAAGAAGCGAACAGAATTGCGAAAACTTGTCAACGCCACTACGTCGAGACCGAAGCCCCAGGCAACAGAGTTTACCAGGTCGTCAAATGCATTCGGTGATGACGGAAATAGGCAACTTGCCCATCTCCCGACGTGACCTCAGTCTCGTAGCCTGTTGCCGTGGGCCTGACTTGGCATACAGTGGCTCGGCCGGACGGTTGCCCACCCCGTCGGTATATGTTCAGGCGGTTCGTGGCCCTTGGCCCCACGGAGCCTCGTTCTGAAACGGTCTCCTCGAGGCAGGACGGATGCAAGGCTTCCCGAAAAAAGCGGGTCAACGGTCGTTCAACCCTGCAGCCTGGTTCCTCCTTGGCGGGCTTCGTCTGTCCTCTCAAGCCCTCGGTCGATTTGTACATTCGTGCAGTCGCTCGTTCCAGAATCTGAGTCCAAACCGAATCAAGCCTCGGAAACCAGTCAGAATCCCACCTCGACGACTACGCCAGCAAAGCAGGCAACAGCCAGCCAATCGCCTCGTCGAAAGAAACCATTTCGAGGCGCCTCATCTACACTCAGGACCAGCTCTCGAGAATATCGGTAAATGTGGAATAAGAACTTGTATCTTAGACGCTCTGATAGCCTTGACAGCCTACTATATATT